AAAAATCACTGAAAGGGAAGCAGTGCTGCCGGTGTCTTGGACAAACCCTTTTAAAGTCAGCTGAAAGAAATGGCAGATATATTAGCATCCTGCAGTAAATGATAAATGAGTTCCAGGAAACCCACTCTTTCTAATGCAATAATCCACTCTGCTGAATAATGCTGTTATTCTAAAGTGAATATGATCTTAGTGTTTACATCATATTTTGTGTATGACAAACTGCTTTGCAAAAAGGCTGGATGAGAAAAAGCATTTTATAGATTTTATACTGTTATGTACTAATAAAAAAGAAACCCGTTTTGCTGTGAGAGTCAAGCAAAGAAGAGATAAGCAGTATTTAGATGTAGGAAATTTTCTTAGAAAGACTGTTATTATGAATTAGTAGCTTTTATCTACTCTCCTGTAACAAAATGGTCAAGCTCCATATCTTAATATTGGGGTGTTCCAAAATAATTTAGACTAATTTTATTCCATTGTTTATGTTGAAGAAAATAAAGCTACCAGATGCTGAGATTTTTTTCTTGGGCTACAGGCTCCCAGGGCATTGGTCACAGCCCCAAGCCTGCCAGAGTTCAAGAAGCATTTGGACAATGCTCTCAGGCACATGGTAGAATTTTGTGCAGAGCCATCTTGTGCAGAGCCAGGAGTTGGACTCAATGATCTTTGTGGATTCCTTCCAACAGAGGAAATTCTGTTATTCTATGATTCTATTCAGCATAATTCTATTCTGTGGTTCTATTCAGCATAATTTCTGTTGATAAACTAAAAAAGAGAATTTGGGATCCCTTGCAGAAAACTGTGGTTCCCTTCTTCTTTTTTCCCCCTTTCATCTTGTACCTCAGCATACGTGGAAACTTTGTGTTAGCTATGTAAGCATCCTTTTATTCAAATACTAATTTAACTTAGTGATTGCATTGAGAATGACCTGTGCTCTGGCATTTCATCTTTTCCATTTAGCACAGGGAACTTCTTAAAATTGATTAGCTCATAGCTCCTAAATCTTTCATAGTTTTGGCTTTTTTCTTCCCTCAGCAAGGAAGTTGCTGGCTTTAACCATTTGCATGCATTTAGGAGAGTCTGTCACCTAGCCTTTCAGTATCTGTGATGTTTGATGTTTCCTGGACTGTCCTTTGGCTTTTGTAAATCATCATTCCTGTGCTTTTTTTGTCACTGACGTGCAGGCACTACGGCCACTGAAGCAGCCTGGCAGCAGTTTGGAGGGGAGGGAGCTGGGGAGGGGAAAGGAGCAGAGAGTGTTTTTGCCAGCTATGCCAGTTGCACGGGAGAGAGGACAGAGCTGGGAGCTTTACAGCCCTGCCACCGAGCAGCCAGCTGCCCACCCACAGGCTGCTGTGGCACCCCAGACAGACATCTCCTAAGTGTCCGTGGGGCAGTGTGGCTCAGTGAGCTGAGAGCATAATCCGTGGGGATGCAGCTGGACCTCAGCGCCTGGGGACGGTGCCTCGCAGCTGCCGACTGGGAACACTAATCCACAGTCAGCCTGTCCTTTTCCACACTCCACTGATGGGGTGAGCGCGTTATCCTCGGAAGGGATTGACCCACAACAAAGCAGCTGAACCTGTGGGCATCACATCTGGCCAGTTTCCTTGGAGAGGCTTGGGAAGTAGGTGTTGCTTTCCCAGCCCACCCCAGGTAAGTAATCTGATCTTAAACAAAGAAGCACAGAGATGGCTGTTTTTAATTTAAAAATATGTTAAAGCAAAATAATTTTTTTGTTGTTGTTTTGAAGGCATAAGGTTTGAATATTCTCATGTTCTGTGCCTCCCTTGAGCTTCTGGAGCTTGGGGGTGATAATGAGGGATTTAATTCTGGGCAGCAGGTGCTGGCAGCAGGGATGCGATGCAGTGCCTGTAATCGTGTTGTCGGGTTCATTTTGCACCATCTGGGTGTGAAAGGAGCAGTCAAGCCTTTAATTGCAGTCCTTGAGCATCTGGTACCTTCCTCCTGCTGCTGGGGTTGCCGACATGGTCAAGGAAAAAGACACTTTGTGTGTCTGAGGCACATAGAGAGTTAAAGCTGGGGGGATCGATGCCACTGCCAGCGTAGCCACTGTGCTGGGGATGGGTCCCTGGGGAGGGGAATGAGAAGGCTGTTCCCACTTCCACTGTTCACCCATCACCTTTTTCTACCAACTCAGGAGAAAAAGAAAGTTGGTCTTTCAGTTGTCTGGGCTTCCTGTTCTAAATGGACGCACTTTTCTGAACTGCAGATAATCCCAGTTGAGGACACATAAAGCAGATGTGGTCACAGGGAATATGACCTGTTGTTTGAGCAGGAGCCAGGCTCATGCTGTGACTGCCCTCTGGGAACAGGACCAACATTTGCTGGAGACCTGGGCAAAGTGGGAGATACCCCTAAAAGACCAATAGCTGAATCAGCTCCTTGCTATGCTTTTATTTATGATCCAAGTGGTGGAAAAGACAAGAAGGCGAGCTCCATGATAGCAGTGATGTGGTCACAGTCCATCACTCCAGTGTGGCAGGGCATGGCAGGAGGAAGCTCATGATGTCAGTGTGCTGCAGTAGTGGGAAAACAATCTGAGAGACGGAGAATAATTCAACTAGGGAGTATGATTTCCAGCATTTACCTTGCATATATTATCCAGACTTTTCCAGCCCTACACTGTTGAGGTATTACTGTCTTTATAGTGGTGTGGCTAAGATGTGATGGCATCATGGTTTCTGCAAACTTGCACAGAAATATCAGTATATTAGGAAAATGTCTCCATTGAGACTGGGATTTTTGTAGTGAATATGCAAATCTGTCAGTGACAATGATGTCACTGCATTGTTTTGTTTTTGTTTTTTAATTTAAGAGGTAAGAAAACCAAGCAGGTTCTGACCAGAGAGATTTTAAGATGTCAGTGTACTGTACATGCCCCCAGCCAAAGTGTTGGCAGCCAGCTTAGGGGTAATGCTGGAGACAAGCAAGTGATGGCACAGTTCACCTGGAAACTATCACTGCCCAGGCAGGGGCTGGCACAGAAACACACCATCCTCTCCTGAAGAGCTCCCTGTTGTAAGGTGTGCCCTGCACTGTGTACTGGTCATGGAGGAGAGCTGTGGGGTGTGCTCCTGGGTTATGGAAGCTCCACTTTGGGATGTGATGGGAGAGTAAGGGATGTGTTGTGAGCTGGGGGCCGGGATCATGGGTAGGTGATGGGAGGTCTGGAGGGAGGGTGGGCGTTCCACCTGCTTTGGAAGCACTACTGGAAATCAAATACTTGGGTAGGTAAGACTGAAACTTGCATTGTTTGTCACATATCAAATTACTAAGTGTAGGCCATATGTGTTTCTTGGCACTTTGTAAATGGTTTGTACTATAATGTGTACAGCACTCTGCCAGAGGAGCAGGGTATGATGTGCTAGTGAAGGATATGAGGTCTTTTTTCTTCCATCTTCCCTATTTTCCATTTTACCAGGGTACAAACCGTGTCCATCACACTGAGGGTGTGGGTGAAACCAGTCCAGTGGCACAGGGTTCAGCACCACTCCTCTGTTTCCTATGTTATGCTGACTTTGAGGCCGAGAAACTCTTTGTCTGGTTTCTCTAAATAAATGTGCAGATATTTCCATGTTGCTCCAAATATGTTTGCATTTAGAAAGGAAGAGAAAGGTGAGGAAAAGCTAACTTGAATATTTTACCTGGAAATGGTATTGCCTAATGCTTATACTTAGAAATCAAAAGTCAGTTACCTGGAGTTTTTAGTGGTTTTGGCATAACTTTCTATCTACTTCAGAGAAAGCAGTAACTTTCCTATGCTTTCAAGGGCTTTTTTCTAAGATGCATGTAATATTCTTCTCCATATTGTTCACCTCAAAGGGTGTTATAAGAATTAAAGCTCATAAAACATTCTAAGATTTGTTAATATAAATCACCTTAGGAGTGCTAATTAAATTATGTTGCCATCTACTTCTAAAAATTAACCTACAATTTTAGTTATAGCTGTTCTGAGGTGGATTTAAAGGATAACATAAGGGTAAAAGACACTGTATTCCAGTACTGATCTCCAAGATCATCTGGACCATGCACCTATTACTCTTTGACTATCCAGAGGGTGTTGCACTGGTGGCTGTTAAGGAGCAGTGTAGTTATATTTCAAGAGAGGAGGACAGGTAATTTGTAAATACACTGGATATCTTGAAGGTGATTTTCCTGTACTGAAACAATTAAATACTGAAGTGAGAAGAGCACAAATAAAGCTGAAATCTTCCAAACCAGGCAGTTTCTGGATCCCACACCTCAAAGTGATCAGTGGATAAATTTTCTGTAATTATACCAGAAAACTCTTTTCAGCTCTGATGGCTTGTTGGATGGGTCAGTAAAGCCTGGGGAGACAAACATACAGATCTCATGATGAGTGCTAAATCTGAATTGTTTCTGGGATCAATGGGGAATGATGTCAGCTTGGGGGGAGAACATAATTTCTCAGTGACAACAAAGATGGATTTTTCTCAATAGCAGGTTGTGATCTTTCCCAGCAGTGTCCTTGGGATGGTTCAGGGGAGGCTGTGAAGCATTTTATACTTGTGAGGGAACAGTCAGCTGCTTTTAATTGCTGACTGCACTCAATCCTTCCAGGGCAGAGGTTTGTATATTTATATCAGCAGCCAGTAACTATAACCTATTCTCGTTTGTTTGGCCAGCAGTAGTTAACCCATCCTTGGCTAATTAAAGACCGGGAAACCTGGTGGGGGGAGAGAGGACAAAAGGGGACCACAAAAATAGAAGTTAGGCTGAAAGAGAGTTAAGCTCTCAGAAAGTTTGAGGATTTTTTTCCCCACGAAGGGGAATGAGGGCATATTTAAAATATGCTACTGTCTACATCCCTCCACCTTGCAGCAGAAGAGCAATGTCTTCAGGAGCTTCTGAGGAGTTTTTGTGGTCCCCTCCCGAGCCAATGTGAAGATGAATGCTCAGGGAGGAGCTGCTCTGTTTCTGAAAGCTGGCTGACAGCTGTGTTGTTTTCTGATCCATAGGTCCAATGGGTGGCATAGCAATAGCATCACTGTCCAGGGAGCTGGAATCCTTCCTCGCCTGCCTGCATGCTGCTTGAACTGATCCCAAGCCTTTGTTTTTGGACTGAAGAAACCTGAAAACCTTTCTCTCCTAATTCATGAGCCAGCAGGATGTGGTCGCCGTGCTTTCAGAACGCCTGCTTGTAGCCGCCTACAAAGGCCAAGTGGAGAATGTGGTGCAGCTTATCAACAGGGGTGCCAAGGTAGCAGTTACCAAGGTAACGAGAGAAAAACGCTTTGCAAAAACCCTGGGAACTAATGTAACTCTTCTAGACCATTGTCTGTGAAAATGCCCTCCTAGCTTTACCAATCTGAATGTGACTGAAGTTAGTGTTCAGATTTCCTTAAAGTCTGCGCTTAATAGCTCACACAAATTTGCAATATAGTGCACGTCTTGTGTTTATACCCTTTGCAGTGGGTGCAGCTGTGATGAACACTTAGCCCTTGCAAACACAGTGTGTCGACAGAGGGGAGCAACAGTTTTCAAAGCATGCATTGACTTTTGAATGCTGTGTGACCTGATGAATGGAGCGATTCATCACTGTCAAGGGAAGGCGGTTCAGGGCACGCATCTCCCCGGGTGAGGGGATGGGGAATAACCACCTCTTGTGGCAGGGTAAAGGGATGCAGAAAGTGTTTCTGGCTGCTGAAGTCTCTTGGTGCAGCAGCCTCACACCCAACCTCTTCATTGATTTGTTCTATGTAGTCCCTTAGTTCCAAACTTGGGAGTTGCAAATTGTATTCCCCATACCTTTGAGAAAAGTCAAAGTCAAAGGATTTCTGCTTAGATACAAGTGAGTTCAAACTGATATTCACCTATTCTTAATGCTCAACATGTTATAAATAATACTATCTTAGAAAAGATGAGATGTAATTGCCTGTTGCAGAGAAAGTTTGATCAGAAAAAAACCTTAAAATAACTAGGTAAGTCAAATCTTTAGAACTGTAACATAAAATTTGGGGCGTACGTTTTGATGAACTGTTGTTTGCCATCCTACCTACTTATATTTGTGTTTCCATATTGATTTTGAATGTTACGTATGTATGGAAGCTAATATTTACTGATAGAAAGCACATTTGATAAAAAAGAGGAAAAGAATGCTTATCTGTCAGTGACAGTTGTTTTCAGTCCCTTCACAGTGTTTGAGTTGTAGATAATACATATTTTGAAAGTTGGAGTGATCCAAGGACAATCTGTGTGTGTAAGTTTTGTTTTCCAAAATGAGTAGCCTCTTGCTGGTAGATACAAAGCACAGATGTAATAAGTATGAATAGTTACATGTGAACAGCTGTTTGGTTCTGTTGTCCAAGCAGCTCTGTAGCTGATCAACAACTATTAAAGGTGGTCAGTAATAGACCAGGAAATACTGATTTATACATACCTGAATGGTAGCTCAGGGTTTTGTGGTTGTGTTTGCTTTTGTTTGTTTGGTTTTTGTTTTTGTTTTTGGTTTTTTTTAAGATTATGAGCTTTATGGCTGCTGAGGGATCTCTGCTAATTACAGTAAGAAACAAATAGTGTAGATTTGACTTTGAAACACAAAATCAGGCTAATTTGATGTAATGCAGATTTCCTGGAGTTGACAAGTTTTTCTTTCCTATATGACCTAGGTGGCTGCCTTGCTTTGTTGTTCTGTCCTGTGTGGAAAATCAAAACAAAGCTCATTTGGCAGCAAAACTGTGGCCAGGTGCAAAGTGCTGGTGTTTCTGTGGAGACATATGCTTGCCAACCACGCTGGAGAGCTTTGGGCTCTGAGGGCATCCTTGTAGCTCACCAAGTACTACAGCATTGTAGCTGGAATGTTCAGCATTATACTGGAACTTCCAGCACTTTCCTGGAAGTTGTGGGTCATCCCTGTGGAACCCAGAGAGGGAAGATGACAAAAGCTGTCCCTGTTGTCCTTCTGGATGCATCCCAGCACACTGACAGATAGTACAGATGAGGTACTTGGGTGGCCTGGTGACAAGCCCTGCTCAGAAGAGATGAAGTCAGATCTGCAGGACTGTGGAGGGGTGCACCCAGAGGAGCAGGGACTGTCTCAGAGCAGCAGCCAAGGCTTTGTGTGAGGCGTGTTTCGAAGGCACACAGACTATTACTCCTTCCATGCTATCAGGCAGAGAGGGCTGAGCTCAGTGCAAACCAAGAGGTGTGAGACCAACCTGGTGCCCTCGCCAGAGCCCATCCATTCAGGCTCCATGATGTCCTGTCCAGGTGTGCACAGTGTGGAGTTTGCATCTGGCTCTCACCCACCTGCATAGGGAGAGCATGTGCATATTTGCCTACAAAAGGCTATATAAACATACCGTGGAATCCTTGGCCTGCTAATCTGATGGCACACAAACGCTGGAAGGAGAAAGATCTGTTTAAAGTAAAGGACAAGGTTGTCACAAGAGCAAGCATGTCTAAATTAGACTCAATGTATATAGAAACTGGAAATCTGGAGGGTTTTTTTAGCTATTACAACAACAGGTTCTTGTGCAGTCTTCTTCTAAGCACAAAATAAGGACAATTTCAGGACAGAGATTCTTAATTTTAGGATGGAAATTAGATGGCAAAAATTTTGTAGTGCAGTTAAACAGACCAAGCTTTTAGATAAAGTGAAACCCAGAACCCTCTTCTCCCCCAAGATAAAACTCATTGCACAATGAAGCATAAAAATAAATCTGCCTGCCTTAGATCGGGTTTACCTGTATGTCTTCTGCTTTCATTAGTAGTTTTCAGTTTGTTCTGCCTAATTATAAATTATAAGGGTTCACTTCCAAAAACGAAAAACATGGATTTAGTACTTGTCAACCAAACTTAATGCTGAATTCTCTGGGTTTTGTTGGAGGAAGATACATGGAGACAAAGCTCTTTGGAGGGAAAGAAAAAGTTCCCCCATCACAGCAGGCTTTAAATATCTTTCTGATCTGTATCTGTAAGCACAGACCAATTGCTGTGAATAACACTGCAAAGCCACAGATTAAAGTGCCCAGGATCTAGAGATAAATGCTAGAGTTCTTTATTCAAAAAGGATTAATTGAGCATAGCCCAAGAAAAATGAAGGATATTTTCTGTAACAAACCAAGTACTAGTAAATGCCTTATAGCTGACTTGTCCAGTTCTGGTTTTGTCCTGTTTGTAAGGTCATATGATATAGTTAATTGTTGCTTCAGTAAACAGTAATTCAGCTGCAAAATAGTATTTTATTTTTGTCACTTCTGAGTAGATGGTTTCAGAAAAAAAGAGGAAGAATATGAAAGAAACAAAATCCAATGAAGAATACACATACAGATGTCCAGGTGCTGACTTCAGCATTACGGTGAGGATGCACTTGTTTCATTTGGGCAGCATTACTAGCAAGGCATCTGTGCAGGTGAAGTTAGTATGGAAATGTGCACCTCCTCTGACTCCAGTGAGGGACCCTCAGGCTCATTGCAGATTTGGGGCCTTCTAAAATATCTGAAGAGGAGCTGATGGCCGCTAGGTCACACAGATGACAGCAATCTGACATCAGGGAGCCCACAGTGGGAGAAGGCTGGTGGCACTGCGTGGCACTTGCACTGAGCACTTGTTGTGGTGCTGGACCTCTGCCCCCAGCCATGTGGGGTTGTGGCCCAGGGCAGCTGTGGTGCTCAGCAGAGGCTTTGTGGCTCTGCTCTTCTCAAAGGGCACCTGCTTGATCAGGGTGCTCTGTCGCTGCTCTGCCTGATGTGACAAAGAGATAATTTCCATTTTTACACCTGTTTGTCTGACATTCTTCACAGGTGTGAAATGTGTAGCTGATTCCTTTATGAAAAGGGCAAAAAATATCCTGAACAACTGGTCATACTTACCAGTTGATCCTACAAGCAGGTGCCATTATCAAGTACTTTGGTGAATAAGCTGCAAAAACTGGGAAAATAAGAACTTAAGCCTTTTCTTCCAAGCAAGAAAGCTAGTCCCTTCATTCAAGTCTTTTTTAGTGTTCTCTTTCAGTGAAATTATTGACAGCTGCATTTCTGGCACAAAAGCCCTGGGACTTATTGCTGAGCTGATGTGCCTTGCTGTCCTCCCAGGACGTTGTTGTCCCTTTCCTGAGGGTTTTGGGTTTGCATGGCCAGGTTTTGGTAGAGGGAGGGACTACGGGTGTGGTTTCTGTGAGAAGCTGCCAAAAGCTCTCCCAGGTCTGGCAGAGCCACTGCCAGGTGGCTCCAAGATGGATGTACTGCTGGTTAAGGCTTGGCCAATGGTGGGAACCCTTCTGAAATAACATATTTAAGAAGGAAAAAAAAAAAAAAAGTTACAGATAGATGTAATTATAGTCAGGGAACAGCCATGAGAATATGTGAGAGGAACAACTCTGCAGACACTGAGGTCAGTGGAGAAGGAGGAGGTGCTTCAGATGGTAAAGCTGAGATTCCCTTGCAGCCCATGGAGGCAGACCCATACCAGAGCAGGTGGATGCCTGAAAGACATCTGTGAATCCATGAGAAACTCGTGCAGAAGCTGGAGCACACCTCTGCATTGATCATACCTACAAAATTGAATTCTGCAGAGAGTGGATGATCATTCAGAAAGAAAGCCCTAAAGAAATACAAAAGGTAGTGCTTCTGTTTTGATTCAGTAATTGATTTAATTTCTGAAGTAGTCATGAACACACCATATAGCAACACTTTTGTAATGCTGGGGTACTTTAAATCTCAACTTCAGAGCATGTTGAGTTCTTTAAAGCAGTCTCTATTTCTTCTTTTTCAATATAAGAGAGAAACAAAAAAATAAATGTGTTTTGGTGCTTTCACATTTTTGCACTCCTTCAGTTTGAAAAGCTATTTGTGTCTGTTTTAAACAAGAAATAAAGATAAATTAAAAGGGACTAACAAACACTTTGGAACTTGCTGAATGCTTGTTGAGGTCAATGAGAAGCTTTCTGCTGACTTGAGTGAGCAGGTTATTCATGGAGAACAGTCCAACAAATTATCAGCATGAACAATGTGACAGGGCTTGGATTTTGCTTTCAGGCTTGCCAATAAAATGTGGACAGGCATGTTTTTTGTGAGTGCAGAATGGATGAATAAAAAACAGTCCTTGTGCATCACCAGAGTAGGGTGAGATGGAGAACTGGATGTACCTGCAGAAAAGTACCTACACATACATAAACACAAGGAAAGATCATGGAGCTTACCTTGCTGAGGCTCCCTGTATGGGTTTGGTTGTGGAGTGCATACACATTGGCAGCAATGCTGGGAGGATTCTGCTTTAAGTGGTGTGTATCGACAGCTGCCTGTCAATGTCTGGGAGTTAGAGTGCAGATTTAATGCAAACAAAAACCTACCCTTGCATTTTACTGCTGAAGTTCATGTGGCTGTTTGTAGTGCTTGGCTTGACCCCATACACCCCACAGCTACTGCAGTGTGTCACGGTGGCTGGAAGTTGTAGCCTTAGTCCAATAGGTGCCATTTATTTTGTCAATAAGTCCGTGACACAGGGCCATTTGTATGATTTGTTGCCTGATGAAGCAATTGTTTACATTTGAATAGAAGTCCAAATTGCTTTTTTTTTTACATATGAATGACTGCTTTATTGGTTCATTAATCCTAAGTTGTAGAAGTGTCTCATTTGTATTTGTAATAACCCCCAAAACATTACAGTTCATATTTCTCAAGGCTCACAAGCTTCTAAGTCAGTAATCTGCATGTGGAACAGTCCCTGGGTTTGGTGTTGTGTCCTTGAAGTGAGCATCTAGGAGACACTCTGGTTTGCATGTTTTCTTTCCCCCTAGGTCCCTTGTGTGTATTCTGATAAACCCTCTCTTTGCTGCTGTGTTGAGTGCAGAATGTCTTTATGGAGGAGACACACAGAGGGAGTTTTGTCTGTCTGCCTTCATCTCTCTGCACCCTATATATGAATTGCTGTGAGAGAAAAACATGGTGGGCTGGTGGTTTGACTTAAAGACATGAAGGCAAGAGCAGCCCTGACTTGCTGGTGTGGCATGGACTTGTTCAGTGTTTGTCTCCAAAGCTTCCTCTGCTCCAAATTTGTCCTCACAGCATGAGGGGCATCCAAATTGCCTTGTTTCTTCCTCACAGTTTGTTCTGGATTGGTGTGTGCATGTGTATGTACATCCATACCTGTGTGTATGTGTATTTGTGTGGGGATTTGATGTTTTTCCAGGTGTTTGCATTGCCCGCACTGGAAGAGTGTCCAGCTGTACCACCCATCTCTACTCTCATTTTGATGTTGCTGGGAAGAAAAAGATAATCTGGCATTGCTGGTTCTTGCAGGGTTGTGATTAATCTTGAGATGATCAGTGCTTTTCCAAAAGCCTGAGCCTCTAATCAGTCTCCTTTCCTGGTTAGTGTCGTAGTTTTTGTTTATAGTGTCCCTTTAAAGTAGGAAGAACTCAAGGACTGCATGTGTGCAAAAACTCTGGTTCCTGGAGGCCTCTCTTTAGGGTTTTCCAGTAGGTGAGATGCCTCTCAACCTATTTTTCTGGATAGAGAATCTGAAACACATGAACACTCTGGAATAAAAATGATGCTTTAGTATTCCAGCTCAACCATGCTAGCAGGTAATAGTTCATGTGGCAATTGCACAGGAAGGTGTATTTAATAAGGAAAATATGTCCCTTGTATTCAAATAAACTCCTATTCTGCTTTCATAGCTTACTTTTAATGCAGTCCCTTTAACTGCATGTCAGCATTTTTGTAGTGGTTAGAGCTGGTTATCTTATCAGAAAGTTTCCCTGCTGGAATATATATATTCATGTTGTTGACACTTTCCTTTTAAAGCACATGAGCTGGCTTCAGGTTGGGTTTGTTTGGGATTTTTCCTTCTCCATACACAGAATGCTATAAATTGTTTTCATGGTGTATTAATAACCTTCCAGAAAGTGAGATAGACGCCTGGATTAGGTGATTTATTTAATGTCATTAAGGAATGTAGAAAGTCAGGACCTGTAAATCTGAATGTGCTGATTCACAGCACATATTCATAATCCAAACATACTGTCCATTTTTGGGAATGATTTGTCAATTTGGTATTTTAAGAAGAAATTATTTTATTCTTTTTTCCGCCTTTATTTCTTTTTATTCCTCTATTGCCTGGGGATTTTATGCCCCCTACTAATGAGTTAGCTGGAACAGCAACATACCCTTGGCTCTTCTCCAGGCTGATGGAGAAGGAAGTGTGGTCAGTGCAGGTCAATGCCCTTCGATCCAGGGACAGGATTTTAGGGACCTGTGGCCAGATAGAGCCAGAGGCACCCAGACAGGATGCTAGATGTTGTCCAGGGGCAGTGGTGACAACAAAGCTGAGCCCTTCCCATGCCTTTAGCAGGACAAGAATGGAAGTTTCTCTCACAGGAGTGAACTGCTGCTGCCAGGAGGGGACAGCATTCAGGTTTTGAGAGATCCATGTGTTACAGTGTGAGTGAGGATTTTGTCCTAAGATCTGCCCCTTTAAGTCAATAATGTAGGACAATTGATCAACACTTAGTGTTTCTGAAGCATAGCACAACTAATCAGTAATGGCACAAACATTTTGCCCTCAGCCATTCTGTTGATTCCGACAGTGTTTTTCCTTTTTGCTCTGAAAAGGCTGAGTTAACAAGGCTTTACCAGGTATCTGGGTATGGGGTTTGCTGTATGAAAGCAATCTTGTCTTGAGCTTGGTTTATTACATAGTGAAGAAGTTGCTTAAAACCTCAGAGAGCCTTCAGTGTACTTCAAGCCACTAGTCAGACAGCTCTTGAAGTGTTTGCCCCTTCTGTGGGGTTAGGGCTGTTTATGTTCTTTTGCAGGATAAATCATTGGGTGGAAAAATAGACAACAACACTGATAGTGAATATATCTAATAAATACAGGTGAAGACTTTTAATGTGACCCTCACAAAGTGCCTAGTGGAGAAAACAGCATTCTTAAGGAAGATACTTCGTTAATTTAGCAATTGCTGGAATCCTGTTTCCTTTACTGCCATTAAATAATCTGCAGTGAACATTTTAGTGTTGTTTCACAGATCTTAAGGTGTTTCGCTCACTTTGAGATTTTACTGAGAGAGAGATAAAAATAAGTATTGTCTAAAAAAACCTGGCAGATCTTTAGCAAAATGAAGTTGATTGTCATATACATGAAGTCACTTGGAATGACTATATGCCTTCCATTCCTTTTCAGGGGAGCATCTGTCATGTGCAAGAGCTCAGTAATTCTTACCTCTCTTGCAAAGACAGTGCCCATTACAATATATGAATTAGCTAGTTATTGCAAGTTGGCTGTACAGAGGGAAGGTGAAAGTAGTTGATAGTTCCATGCTCCAGAGGGACAGAAACAAAAGAGTCATGAATTCTGCTTAGGCATGGACACAGAGCCAGATGTGAATTTGAAAGGAAGGACCCTTATATGAATATAATGTCCCTTTTGTAGAGTGTCATTGGGATAAACTGAAATGTTGCAGAAGGTGGAGAAGAAGTTTTCAGTTTTCACAAAACCAAGGTAAAGCCTTTGTCACAATAATACATGTCAGTTGCTACTATTGCAGATGAGGTACAGACAAAAGAATGATGAAAAGGAGATGAAACTCTATTTAATTATAATGCATAGAAATTAATCTTAAGTTATTATTTTCTTCTCATTCACAGCATGGCCGGACCCCACTGCATCTTGCTGCCTACAAGGGTCATCTCCATGTGGTCCAGGTTTTGTTGAAGGCAGGTTGTGATCTGGATATTCAGGATGATGTAAGTAGATACAACCTTCTAACTTGGGGTGGAGGGGAAAAGGTGATTTGCACATTACAGTAGACATTCACTTCTTTGAGGTAGGATTAAATGGAAACAAAATTTGTCTATTTTCCTGTTCAGAGATGTAATCTCTATTAGAGATGCAAAAGTGCATGGGAAACAATGTAAAATGTGATGGTTTTCAGTGAATAGCTTAGTCCTCTTGTTCAAGCTGTGGAGGTTTGTAGGAGCTCTGCTTATGCCAGGTGGGTGTGAGAGTCATCATCTGATGCTTCTGGTAGAAATGCACTAGGAGTTCATTGTGGGAACCTGCTGGAGGATATCAGGTAGGGGACACAACTCATTTTTGGGTTTGCCTGAAGTGAGCAATGCTTTTTGAGAGACATCCCTCAGCATCCAGAAGAGCTGCCCGTGGCAGAGTGCTGTGCCATGGGGAGATAATCCTGATGACACTACACTTCATATGGGGGTGGTCACATCTCTGAGGTTGTTGTGTGATGAGGCATCAGAACAAAAACCAGCTTTGAATTTAGCACATGGTAATTTGTGTTCATTTGGTAAAATACATAAGTTGCTGGGATTTCTTGGTTTTCTGTAAGAGAAGTTCTAATCTAGGACTGGGCTTTAAGGCACTTTGGAGTGATTTTCATTCCCTCACTGGTCAAAAAATATATATGCTGAAATGTGCCATAGCAGTTGAATAATCACAATTCCTTCAAATTAATTGCTAACTTTTAATGGCACGCTGGAAGAAGTTTGAGGTAGAGTTGGTTTTGTTCTCCCTGTAATATATAAGGTGGAGAGTCTTCAAAGGCCATAGAGGTCCAAAGGTGTTAGTCGTGGCACCTGTATGACTAGTAGAAGGACACTGGAAATGTCTAGGTGCCTTTTAAAAATGCCTTTGGGCATTTGTTTGTGTCTAGAGAGTTAAAAGTCTATAGCAACTGGAAAACTGGTTTCTTTCTCTGCATGAGTAGCTGATTCTCTGGGAGACATGAGCAGTCTGCCTGACGAGCTTGGGACTGGGGTACTGATGTGGCCAGCTTTCTGCAGGGAAGCTTTTTTTTCCAGGAAGAAAATTTGTTCCTGCACTCTTTATTCTTTCCCTGTGCCCATCTGTGAAATGGAGCAGATTTGCAAGTGTAATGGGAGAATCAGTTTATTCAGATGTATCCTGGGTATGCTTTTTCACTTCTCCCAGCAGAAATGGTTCATTAGGTGTTTAAGACAAAATTGTTGATACTTTACAAATACAGCCAGTTTTCCTGAGAAAAGAAAACTGCTGCTTTAAGAAAGCAAGAGCTTCCACTGATTTGGTCAAATTGAGTTTCTGTGGAAACTGTTTTTTGAATAGGTCTGGTTCATTTGTTTTAATCATCTGGGAATAAAGTCTATGCTGTTTATATGTAAATGTGATAACCATGATAGAAAATCAGTAAATCGGTGTTTAGCATAATTTCAGTTCAGTGCAGAGTCTTGCACTTGTAAAAATACTCAGCTCATAGAATACTTATTGTCTTATGAGCTCCTCAGGAGCTTTGTTCACAACAATTGGATACTGCTTCTAAATGTGGTGGTTAATACGGGTATAATTGTATGCCATATTAATATGCATACTAGAATCATAGATACTTTTTCTTTAAAATGTATTTTGATGTGTAGCTTTGTATTTAGTAATAGTAGTAATTTGGTTGGGGTTGATGAGAGCCTCAGGAGTTTCTGAATTTCAAAGGGTGTGTTTGGATTTGTGTTGCAGAAGGAGGAAGTCTAAAATTCCAAATGAAGATTTTTGTTTGCAATAGGTATTAACTAAAGTATTTCTGCTTTCCTTTTACATAGGTCTTCAAAGAAGGTTCTCTGCTTATGGCTTCTCTTTGTATAACTCATTTTTACAGTTTATGCCCCACAAAATATGTTTGTAGTCTCTTTTAGTTGCAATCTATTGATCATGCTTTCAGTCACTTTTACTGTGTGCAGTGAAGGCATCTTAGTTTCAAGTGTTGATTAAGATCTGTATGTTTCATTGCTGTTTTCCAGAAATACAAATTTAGGTTCAGATAGGAAAACACTTGTCAGAGTGGGGAGTATTATGCTTAATTGAAAAGCAAATTATTTTGTTGATTTTGGTCTATGGCATTGTTGTGATAGCACACAAAAATCCAAAACAATTACCTACATTTTATTTTTTAAAGTAACATGAGAAACCTTAACACTTTATTTTTGAATTTTGATCAAATTGAAGAACAAGTTTTAATTTGCCAGATGATAAGCAGAAACTTAAAAAGCTTCTAATTGTTGTGGAGAGATTAAAATGCTCCCTTTCATGTTCCACAGATATATTCCCTAAACACAGTAAGAGCCTTAAGGATTAGTTGAAGAATGACCTCCAGTGGCCTGGAGTGGGATTATTATGAATTTCAGCCGGTGGAGTCCAGCTCTGTAGAATATGCCACTCCAGGAGCTGACTCCTTCCTTCTCCCTGCCAATACTGAGAACTCTTACTGGGATCCCAGTGCCATCTCTGAGTGGTCAATGAGTGTCCATACAGCACACACCTCAGAAATAGTCCAGGAGAAAATTGTCCCGGTGAAGGAAATCAAGGATGAAAAAAATAAGAGAAACCAGAAGAGAAAGGCTAGGAAGGAACCTAGAAGATCAGAAAGAGAGAAGGAGGTTAGAACTCTTGTGCATCACCCCTGCCCTGCGCCTGCCGCCTGTCCCGGTGCATGCTGCGAACCCCTGGTGCGGCGCTGCGGCACGGCCGAGCTCCCTGTGCTGCATCGCTGCATGGCTGCATGGCCCGCTTGGCACCCGTGCTCTGCATCCACTCTCCTGCCCTGTCTGCGCCCTTGAGAATCTAGCTGGGAAAACAAGTTGGTTTAAAACAAAGGCCAAAGGCCCTGAAACTTCCTTTCTGTAAGCTCCAGTTTAAGAAGCAGAAAATTAGTTTCCAATCATTTCTAGCTGAATGGAAATGTGCAAAGTGGCTTATTCCTGTGGTCCCATTTCATTTAGGCTGTGACTTGTTTTGGTCATGAGTATTTTTCATGCCTTGATTACTTCTGTTGGTCATGCATCATCATTTATTGTGCAAGAATGAAGTTCTTAACTGCATATCACGACTGCCTCTCTGTATCAAAAGAGGACGAGAGCAGCAGGGAGACACTGAGAAACATGAGAGCATATTCAGTTCCATTTGTGTTCAGTTGCTTCAGGATATCCACATATGCTTGTATGCTCCTGCAAGTATGTAACACCTGGTTGTATTTTAACTTTAGAATATTTTGATACTTTTGCTGTGAATTTAGTGTCTTGATTTTATATTATATGACTTTACAAGTGCTGTTCAGCACTTTGTATCAGGAATTGAAGCCATGAGTTTTTTCTGGTTGTTTTAGTTGTTTATTTTTTGGTGGACCAAAGTTGTGGATGATCTGTCACTGGAAGTGTGCAAGGCCAGGCTGGATGGGCAACCTGGTCTAGAGGAGTGTTCCTGCTTATGGGAAGGGAGTTGGAACCGGGTGATCTTTAGGGTCGTTTCCAACCCCAAACCATTCTATGATTCGACGATTTTGGTGCAATTCTCCTGCAGCAAGATAGTCTGTTGATTTCTGCAAACATAGAAGTGAGGAGGCAAAGTGTCACATGGGAGAAGGGCTTTAAAGGAGATTACATCCAGCAACTGTTGGATGCTCTGGAGAATAGGAATATGCAGGGGAAAATGTGGTTATAGTTTGGGGTTTTTTTAATCAGAGAAAGAAAAAAAATTAACATATATTACAAATGAATGTAAACCAAATCTCATTAATTTGTGTCTGTAGAGTCTGTAAGAGAGACTCCAATAAACCATGAGAGCTGTCAGAAGTCTACCTGAGACTGTATTGGAAGTCACTTGTGTTGTTTCATTCTCTTGGGGTCAACTTCAGATGTAAATAGATACCTGCCCAATTTCCAAGTGCCTGGTCCCAGTGGTTGCATCCACTGTTTTAAGATAGCACATGAGGAAGCTCAGGGAGGTAGTTGCAAACACCAGGACATTGAGCAAATGGCAACAGCCATGCCAACAGAGAAGTGCTAAAGAAAGGGTAATGCCAAAGTCCATGAGGAAAAAATCAAGATTTAGGTGTCTGCCTTTCTTCAGGACTCCCAGCCTGTAAGCCTCTCCTGAAAGCAGATGTTTAAGCCCTCTGTAAAGAGCATGGTTCCCCTCTCTTGAAATGTACCTGCTGCTGTGCAGGAGCCCTGTTACAGGTAGAGCTCTCAGATGTGCTGTCCTGCATATTCTGCATCACTGCATGCAGATTTCTATCCCAGTCTTCCAGTGTCAGCCTCTTACTATCTCAATGAATACCAAGATTTTTTCCTTTTAGGAGAACTTTTAACACTGCAATGCTGCCATGGCAAGAAAAAGGGAGTGAGCATTGCTACCTCTGGGCTACTGTGGAAAAGCCAGTGGCCACTTCCTTAACTGGCTTAATTTTGAAGGGTCGTGGCTGTACTTGAAACATGCATGGATCTTCTTCCATCAGGTGTGTGACAAGAGCACTCACAGTGCCAGAGAGAGGAGGGCAGCTGCCTGCACTAGGGCTGTGCAGGGCCAGGGTGTGCCATGCCACCGTGATGCAGTGCCCTGTACCTGCCTTGCAAACTGACAAGGGCATGGACATCTTGGAGTGGAATTTCCCGAGTCTGAGCTGTCTTCAGGCTAGGCAGAGTCTGAGGAAGGGGGTTTAAGATTCACCAGTGTAGACCTTAGTGCCTTGCTTCTATTGAGCCTCACTTAAGTCTTTTTGGCTTTGGGCCCACATCTGCATTTGGGCAGATTGTTGTTTCTGTCAAGGTCATGTTTCTGTGACACAGCACTGGAATTGTCTCTCTTCATTGCTACTGATCTGCAGTCTGCTCCTAAGGCATAAATCCCTTGGAAACAGAATCATAAATTGTGCCCAACATAATAGTCTGGACGGTTAATACGCATTTACCAATGTAATTGCTCTCTGAGCCTCTGGAACAGACCCCTAATGCTTTGCTAAAGACAGAATTGTAGTGAGTACTTTCAGAGACATTTATTTCAGTAATTAATAACAGGTACACAAGTCAGTGATTACACTGCCTGAAAATTCATGCTGTGAAAAAACCACAACTCATCTGTTTTCTTGGACTCCGTGAAAGGCAGGGCAGGGATTTGCTCCACTGCTGATGAGAAGGGAAGGCAGGTTAGAGTGCAGTGGTGCAGGCACTGTTATTTATAGGATGGCTGCACTCTCCACAGCTGGGTTGCTCAGTGGCTGTCACACAGAAGCCATCACAACTTGGTGGTTCATCTTCCACAGCACTTTAAGCAGTTTAAGGTAACTGTGCTGAGGTATAAGGGAACAGTGGACCAGGTGCTGCCCTGTCCTTCTGGCTGCGGGGACTGGTGGTGGTAGGGATGGACACTCACCAGGACAATGGTATGTGCCCTCTCTTCACTGGGAGGTGCCTCAGGTGGTGAAACAAGGTTTGAGATATCCTTTGACACTCCCTGTTACATGGATGAGGTGCTTATTTTGTCCAGTAAGGGTGTGGGCTGGACCTTACTCTTGGATAATTGCGTAGGGAAGATGTCACAACCAAAGCCCATACCTTGAGCAGAAGGCACTTGAACCTGCCATTTGCAGGACTTGTGTCCCTTCACCTACATCTATTTCAGGGACAAAGCTTAGGCATGGCTGAAGCTGTCCCAGTGCTGCTCTGCATCCCCGGTGTATGGCCCCCCAGGATATGGGTTGGGATTACCAAGGGGGGACCTAATCTTACAGCAGTGAGGTGTGGAGCCTACTTTCCAAGCAGACAAAAGTGTTTGTATAAAATTTAAATGAAAGGCTGTTAGAAGTAGCTGTCATATCAACAAAACCCCAAGACCTGAATAGTCTTTGATCTCATTGCAGTTACTGTGATGGGGACAGGAACAGCCTTGATTTAAACTGTCCCAGTAAGAAGATCCTTAATTACAAACCAAATCCTGTACAATCCATTTCTGTCCCAAATTTGTCTTCTCCACAGTAATTTTCCTGACTGTAAGTAGTAGGAACCAATCATTTATTGTGCAGATTCCATCCACTGCAATGGCAGTTGCCATTTTGTTTTAGTCTGTTTTGTAATATCTTCTGTGGATTTGCTGCTGCATCAATACCACTTGGCAGGGGTAGTTTGGCAGATTACTTTTCACTTCCTGATAGTCAGATAACATGATTTTTGCACTGTCCCACAGGACTCACTATTGCAGTAACAGTAGCTGTGCCATTATCAAAAATCAGATATAAAATTCTTTCTCAGTTTGTTGGTGAGCAGATTTCCATGTAGTCATAGTAACCAGTAACTATTTGACATTTGTACTTGTGAGATGGTATCATTTGGACATTTTCCATAACATTTTGGTTGTCTTTGAATTTGGAACAAATACATAAATTCAGAGCACTTGCCATGTTGTCAATTTTCCGATACTTTTTGTTTCCACTTCCTGGAAGCTTTACTGCCTTTGCTGAAATCCTTTAAAATACATTTCCAGTCGCAAGAACAAAAGTAAAAATATCTAACCTCTAGAAACAACAACAAAAAACAGATAGCAGGCTTTTAAAAAGCACCTTCAACACAATCTTTTAAAATCAACTTCATTATTATAAGCCAATGTAATGATTTACCGGTAGGGATTACTGAAAGGTTGTGGTTGGCAATACTCAGTTTTGTATAGATTAATAACTATTTTGGTATCATTAGCACAAAAGAACCCCACCAAGAGCAATTTTAAAGTCAGCTGCTAATTGCCTTTGAGAACAAATTGTTCAGATAAGCCAGTTATCTAAAGACTTGGACACTCTAGAATAAAAAATACAGAAATTCCTCTAATTTCTGTATAACATGCTATTATCTGATAAAGAATTTTACCAGAGAAATTTTGTGTCTATTTAGGACTTGGTTTCTTGCAAGCTTTTTTTAGGACCCATGGCATATCTCTGCCCTGTGTTTGTTTGTGGTGACCATTATCTAGATAAGCAGAAATGGGTTGGATTCCAAATCTGTTTGTTCATCCCAAACAAGTCTGTGTGCAGCTTTGAAGCCTGTCTCTGTTCCTGGATTCAGGCTGTGCTTTGGCATTGCTGGTTCAAAGCAACTTCAAAGGAAAACCAAGACCAGTTGTGGCAGCAGTGGAGCTACCGCAGCTCATTTTGCATTGATGCCTGTCTTACATCCCTACACACTGCTTCATAAATCCTTCTCTTGCCTCTCTTTTATCAGGCTCTTACCAACATGTACATAAAAACATATAGGTAATTTCTGATGGGCAGGGACAGTGGTTTAGGTTTCCCTAGTCTTCAGTTTCTGGAAGGATTCTGGAAACTAACCTTGGGCTCTCTAGCTCAGCAAATGAGTTCAGCAGTGGTTAGAGAAGAGATAGATGAGCAGTCAGACAAGATGACCACATCAGCATTATTTCTTTTGGAAAGTTTGCCTTAAAGGAAATAAACTGATGTAGGAGACTTGCTTGTTGCTGCTACATGGTGTGTCAAAGAGAAATGAAAGTCACTTGGACTCAAGTGATCAAGATCACTCAGTTGCTGAGTGAAACAAGTGGATGGTCCTGCAGTTGTGGTTCTCATTGTAAAGTTGCCTCTCCTCTTTGCACTAATTGGTAAATTCATCAGAGGTGCTGAAGAGACCGATCTCATCTCATGCTCCTTATCCTAAGCAGGGCTGATGGAGCAATCAGAGCCAGAGCGGGAGAGCCTTATCCAGTTAGTGTAAGTCCTGGAGGATCATTATAATGAATTAAGACAGCCTGTAATTCCCTTTAGTTCCCTTCAGACACTGATGACTATTAGACACATAGAGCCAAATGTATCCAATTCACTGCCTTCTAATACTGCCATGTTTTTGGAATGCTTCAGTGCTGTATATGGGATTGTGATGACTTGCAAATTTCTGTAAATGGTTTGTAGCTCTGCTACTTTCAAAAATTTCATTAATCTTGGAAACTTTTATGGTAGTTGTTTAGGGGGACTGATTTCAAAGGCAGCTTGGATTTAAACAGTATGTGTGTCGAAGATGCAGCCCTTGTGTTGTCTGCATTTGCATTAAGTCAAAATGAGGTGGGAATTGTACCAATTACTAATTTGCTTCTTTTTGCAGGGTGACCAGACAGCACTGCACCGGGCTGCTGTTGTAGGGAACACAGATGTAATAGCAACTCTGATTCAAGAGGGCTGTGCTTTGGACAGACAAGACAAGGTAACAGATGAAACAAAAGCCCTGTGGAATGGCAGCTTTGGCAGTCACTAATGTTAAGGTCTCAGAGAGAAAGTTACAGTTTATGCTCCTTAGTAAGTGTCTGATGCTTCGGGAGTAATTGGAGCAATTACATTGAAAAAAAAACCTGTACCATCTCTTTAATACAAATTACTGGTTTAGTTATACTTCTATATTAGGCTGATAGTTTTTGGTTTAAGAGTCTGTTCTCAGCTCATTAAGGGATGAATTAAAGGAATGTACAACCATACTACGCCCTACGCAAAAGACTGCACAGTTCCCATGATTATCCCAGAAACTTGAGAATCCCAGGCTGTAAGTTTAATTTAGGAGTAAATGTAACTAATTTCAAGTTCCAGATAAATAGCAATGTTTTTACCCTCTTATAAAAATAAAATAGAAAATAAGCTAGTAAGAAATGAAAATACTTTTAAAAGAGTAGGTTGGTTATACAGCCCCTAACATTCTCCTCTTGTGTGTGTGCTCCTCAGGATGGGAACACTGCTCTTCATGAAGCTTGTTGGCATGGATTCAGTCAGTCTGCCAAAGTGCTTGTTAAAGCAGGAGCCAACGTTCTTGCCAAGAACAAGGTGAGACCCATGGAGGAGGAGCTTTCAGTTCTGGTCTAAGGTGGCTGATTCTCAGAACTGGAGATTTCTGCCCATGGCATTTCTCAGCAGGTGGGGTCCAACTCTTAGTGGGATTTTTTTCTTCTTTTTATTTTCATTTATCATGCTTGGATGGTTCATCCACAGGCATTAGGAAATTCATATTTTGACAGCTGACGCAGGAGAAACTCAATAACGTGTTGAATGATACATTAATTACAGCTGAGGAACACTGCCATTCCTGTGGAAATCTCCATGGTGCTCTAATTTATACTGAGGAGATTCATTGTGATTGGTGTGATTTAAAATGGAAATGAATTGTACTAATAAGAAAATGGTATTGAAAATCCGTTTTTTTTCCCAGAAATTAAACAGCCAAAGGAATGTAAGCCACAGAGGGAAATAAAAAAGGTGCCTTTTGTTACTGAGTTTTTCCTAATATATTAGCATAGTCTCTTCCCAGAATCTTGTAATGAACCTGGATTACGTTCCTTTTGGTATTTATAATACCTTGAGAGCCATTTAGAGGAGAGAATAACAAAGTAAAGGGGTTTAGTTCCACTCTAATTGTTATAACTGAGGGGCATTTCAATTCAGTAATTCAGAAGTTAATGGAAGAGTCCAGGAAATGGTGGTAGCAGCCCATGGTTTGAGCAGAGTCAGGGTTTGGACAGCTGTGCTGCTGGGTTGGTCAGATCACACAGCTGGCATGGTGCCCTGCGTGACAGGAAGAGGGCTTTGGGGTTGCTTTAGGGGATCTCTGAGCATTTTTGGTAAATGTGTCTCTTAAACAACTGAAAAGCTGCTGAGAAAAGTCTAAGATTTAGAGTAGAAAGGCATGTTGCTTGGGCATAGTGTTTCTGTAACTGCACGTGTGTATAGGCACTATAGAAGCATATATTTGTACTGTTGTGGTGACTTTGTGGTCAGCAATTTCATTGTCTTTGATATTATTTTATGTGTATTCCTTCTTTTATATTGTTTCAACTACCAATTTGTACTTACTCTAATTACTTCTGCTGTAAGGTCCACCTAGATTTTTATCAAAGGTTCTTTAGTAAACTTCCTATAATTGACTATAAGTCTTGTGAACCATTTTGCTCCTGTCCCTGGATATTCTTGTCTGTGTATACACATACACTGCTGTACAAAGGTGTGGGCTTAAGATGCAAGTCTGGTTATCCTGCATGCTTGAGTGCATCAGATCAGGAAATCAGAAGATTTAGTTTACAATCTAGTTTATGTCAGCTGGAGGCAACCTCTCTGGGAAAGTATGTGCACAAAATAGCTCAGCAGGGCTGATGGCTGAAATATGACCGGCAAACTTAAATACTGCCTAAGCAGCTAGTCTTTGATGTGTTATCCTTTGCATTTTACTCTTTGGGTGGTTTTTAATGGACAAGATATACTCTCAGGAGGTGCTGAAAAATGTGGGAATCAGGCATGCTTGCACGTGTTTTTACCCCTTGTTTTCAAGAAAAATGAAGAGATTAAGTCTACTTAATCCCAAAATGGTTTCTCTGTTCTCTCAGCTTTTTGTGTTACTGATGACAAGGCATTATCATTCTGACAGCTTTTCTGGCAGCCAGGGTTGAGTGCTGTGTGCAGGAGCATCCCACAGGCTGGTGACTTACACCTGGTTATTGTGTGATTTTGGATGGATGGGACAGATATGGGCTGCTAGATTTGGCAAACTTGTGAAGCACCAGAAGATGGGAAGGATTTGACACTGTGTTTTGGGTAGCTGCATTGCTCCTGAACTATAGTCACCCTGGAGGTGCAGTTTATTTTCATTGAAGTTGGCTTAATGAAACCTTTTCTGCTCTGATAGATCATCCAATGAGATCAGTTATAGCCTTATTTTTAGATTCTTCATCAGTCTGTACATTTCAGTGAAGATTCCCAGACTGGTACAACTTGTAGCCTCTCTCCCTCTCAGAAGTTGATGAGAGATTTGTCACCCTACGGGAGATGAGCCAGATGAGCCCCTCTGTGAGCTCTGACCCTTGGCACTGTGAATTTTCCCAGAACTGAAGTCCTCACCTCCTGCACAGGACCTCTGCCTTCCCACAAGGGCCAACCTGCCAAACAGTAAATGGTAAAGGCATTGCAGAGGCTTTTCAGAGATAAACCTGGGAGGGAAAAAATTGACACTTAAACACAATTTAGCTGAGAAGAGAAATGTTCATGTCTGCCACAGCTTAGAGGCTGACACACAGTCATATTCAGGTCTATAATATGGAAGTGAAGACCTAAGACCACATCTAAGAGTTGGCTTTTGTAATACAGAACCTGCACCTTTGATCTGTGTCTTGAAAGCAAGGGGGACAAATCAAAGGAAAAATCAAGGTGAACAGGCAGTGTAGTAAGTCTGGTAAACCATTTTACCTGAGGTGATTTAATTTATAGCTTCCAAGAGTCAAAAACCCTGAATGTTTTCAGACCAATGAAAACCAAATGCTGCCAGAAAAAACTTGTCAGACCTATAAAATCATTCACACTATTATATAGACAATACACATGTCAACACCTTTGATTTCCGTCCACTTCTGCACATTTTCTTCTTTGAGGAACCAGAGCACGTGATTCTCTGGGTCTTGCGTGGCTTTTTGTCCTCCCTTCCCATCTTGGCTAGAGACTGGTATGCCTCCTGAACATCAAAGCTTCCTGATAGCCTAAAATCTTGCCCAATGAGAGCACCTACAGACCCAGCCAGACTTCAAGCTGGTTTGCATTACAATACTAAGGAGACAGGAGTTGTGACCCTGGTCTGCTCAATATCCTGCAGCAGTCATGGCTGGTATCAAAGGTCCCGTGCCATGGCAGTTTGGTTTTTTGTGTCTGTGCATGAAGGAAACATAAGAATTACAGTTCTTTAAACTAAATATTTAACACAGCTATTTGAGACTAATGAATGAGACATCTTTCTAGAGTTCTTTCTTCCTGCATTTGACCAATGCAGATATCAATACTGTCCTATTTCTGTTTTTATTATGTCCCAGGTAAGCCATTGCCAGAATGAAGTGGAGATTTCAGTCTCTGGGTTCATTCATCTCATATCTTTGGGAAAACAACAGTTTCCCACCCTTGGGTGGATCTTCTTATGAAAAGATCTGTGAGGATTTATATTTTAATGCTTATGTCCAATATCTAAATATGGCTTTTATATTTTCCTGTATTTCTCTAAGGCAGGTAACACACCTCTTCACCTGGCTTGCCAGAATAGCCATTCCCAGAGTACTCGTGTTTTGTTACTTGGAGGATCTCGAGCAGACCTCAAAAATAATGTGAGTTTTGGAAATAACATGTTCATTTTTGTGTGACTTTGTTTTAGGTATATTGCTTATTGCTTTAATTTGTAGAAATACTCAGAAAGGCTTTAAGCAATGATTTTTATTATAAATTACACTGGAAAAAAAAAAACCCACTATCCAAACATTGTATTCACCATGCACAAGAATGCTTTTGGTAGGATTGAGTGATGCACTACTTGTACCCATCTCTTGAGCAAGGATAGAAGGAGCCAAATGGGGGTTTGCTGTTGCACACAGTGGTGAAAGGCTTCAGATCTGCAGATCCTATGTACTGTGTGTCCGACTGTCAAATGAGGTAGATTCAAGGTGGTTTCAGTTTCAGACAGCTTTCCTCCTATTTTATAATGACTCTGGCATGATAGATAAAGAAAAAAAAAAAAACAATCTACAAAAGGAAGCCAGACATTTTTGCCCTGCTTGATAACTTGATAACAAAGTAGGCAGAGAAATGGAAATCTGTGGGGTTTTGTGCATCTCCCAGGCTCAGCTGCACAAGTGCCACCCTTCATGGGAATGCTGCTCTGGCTGCCACTCATGTTTTCTACATTATGTGGAACCCTAAGTTGAGATTCAAAATTGCATTGGGTTGTGGTTAAGAAGAACAGATTTAATGGGAAAATATAATTAACTCAGGATTTTTAGTGCCAGTAAAATAGCATTTTATTTTTCCAGTATTTCCCATCATGGGTTAAAGAATTCATGCTCTCATCTTGCCTGACCCCAGCTCTTGCTAAACTTTCCCACCCATGATTTTGTACTACAGAGAAGACAGCATTGCTGTTCTGTGGAGGTGTGTGGTGTTTACTGCTCTTTCTGATTTAATAGGATTATTTCATCCCTGAACATCATGACAAGTACAGGCTTTCTCACAGTGATTACATGCTCAGAGCTTTGTTTCTGTTTGCAGGCAGGAGATACCTGTCTGCATGTGGCTGCTCGTTATAATCACTTGCCCATCATTAGGGTGCTGCTCAGTGCTTTCTGTTCTGTCCATGAAAAGAACCAGGTCAGTGCATGAACCTCATTGTGACTCTGTGCCCTTTGCATATGGCCAGTTGTTGGGAAGAGGAATTCCTACCCAAGAAATCCTGCTTCACACTGTGTGTTCCACTGTGCCACCAAATGCCTAAGCTTTTAAGAATAGCCTTAAAGTAATGGCATATCGGTGGTTTATTACTTTGCCATCACATTTGCATTATTTCTTTAAAACATTGCTTATTTATGAGGTGATTTAATGATCTTATAGCCATTACAGAGACATTGTGAAGCACAACTCACTGACATTTAGATGCTACTAAAGTGCAAATTCCTCTGGAATACTTTTCTTTGATGCATTGTGCAGTAGGGGGAATTAAGAGGACATAAAAGTGAAGAAAAACATGCTCTAAATTCAAAGTAATGATCAGTCTAGCCTAAGATTAATAATCCATAGTTGTTTTATAGGGAAGTAATTGATTGCTGTACCTATAGCATAGCCTAATTGGGTAGTAGAAGGGAATGAAATTAGTACATTAAAATGTTTTAAATCAGCTAAATAAACATATTATGTGGTGCTTAACCACGTTTTCTCATGTTCCTGGGAAATCTTCCATGTGTAGTTGAGGATCATAAAGATGTTTTCTGAACTGTACATTTAATGTTCTTTCTTCACTATGAGATATTATAGCAAACAAAATGGGTTTCAGCATGTTAAATTTACTATGTAATTTTATTTGGAAATGACTTTTTTAACTTGCAAAATGAGCTACTGAACATTAAGATCGACTGGTGTGAACCTGGCTCAGAGAAACATCCCTTTCCCTCACTCCCCAGCACTACCTGAAGTTATTCCATATTTGCCCATAGAATTATTTGATTTATGAGTACACCTCATCTAAGTTAGCAACAGGCACTAATCCTGAGGAAATCTAATTTTATGAAGGCAAAATGCAAGACCAGGGGGACAGGAGGACATTATACACACATGTCTGGTCCCATTTGAATGGTTGCTGGCTCTGTTACCAGTGCCCAAATCTGATCATGGCTGTCTTCACCTCACTGCACCAGGACAAGGGCAGGGCAGTGTGTTAGTGCTGGACCCAGATTGCCTCCTGGCTCTGATCCAAAATCTGTTCTTCCTGAGGAAACCTGTGAAGAGCATGCCAACCATCTCACTGCCGGTACTCACCTGAGTATTTCTGAGTAATGTGATACATGACCACCTGCACACCAAATAATCAAACCTGGGGGAAAAAAAAGAAGATTGTAGTGGGAAAACTTGTTCTACCCTCAGATGGCATATCCATTTACTGCAGGTAGAGCTGGGCTGTCTCCAAGCTGCATCATGTGTCACTTAGTTTAGGTAAATCAGATCACCAGCATCCCAGCTGCATTTCTCAAACTCAGACTGAAATAGCTCTTTGCCCCCACCTGTCATCTTCCTCCCTACTCAGTCATTATTTATTGACCAGGCCTTATTTAAGCTTAGTTGTTCCATCAGTAAGTGTAGGTTTTTTCATCCTGAGCATCTTTAAGAAGGTGTGAATTCTGTAGTGTGAGGCTCAAGGACTGGTGTCACAAGTTTGTTTTCTGCTTTCTGACTTGCAGGCAGGGGATACTGCACTCCATGTAGCTGCTGCTCTAAATCACAAGAAGGTGGTGAAGCTCTTGCTGGAAGCAGGGGCTGATGCATCTGTTGTCAACAATGTAAGCAGGACATAGAGTTTCTTTGGTATTTTATATTAATGTAGAGTCTCTTCAATGTTCCTCAGAGGCTTGGTAAAAAATACTTGGTTGTGAAGTGTTGAATTATATCTGGGTAAATTAATGCAATTAGTTACTTTATTCTTGCGCACAGAGTATGTACTGAATTGGTTGGAGAAATTTCATGTTTCCAGTAGCTTGTGTTTTGAAGAAAATGTTGTTTTCTTTTTTCTCTCAGGCAGGCCAGACCCCGCTAGAGGTTGCCAGGCAGCACAATAACCCCGAGGTTGCGCTCCTGCTCACTAAAGCATCACAGGTACATTACACATCTTTCCCCAACACACACATGTACACATGGAGCTGAGGCCACTTAATCTTGGGAGGCTGCATCCCCTGCTCCTTGTCTTCTGCTGTGAAAGGTTCCTACATTTCTGCTGGCATTTTGGGCTGGGTTCAGGTCTATTGACACAGAGCCTTTCGGCCCCCAAGGCGATCAAGGTGGGCAGATTAAGCCTCCGCATGAAGTGCTGTCAGAGGTCTTTGTGTCCTGACTGGCAGAGGGTGGAGCAGTCTGAGGCACTTGTTCCCTGCAGTAGCCCAGAAAGTTGCCCTGTACCCTGAAGCTCCTGAGTTGTGTCACTCTGCTGCCTGCCTCAGGCATATCCCATCCCCAGAAGGGTGGTTAGCACTGGAGGATGCTTTGCAATGGGGACAAAATGTTTATATCCTGTTTATACTTTGCAGCTGTGTGTGAAAAGCTGCAATGCTCTTCAGGCCAGAAGGCAGGAGGACGCGAGACCAGGCACAATCCTTGCCCTCCTCCTCCTCCTTCTCACCTCTGCATGAAAAGGGCTGGGCTTGGTTTGGGAACCAGCCCAAGGACAGCAGAGGAGGTGCTCACCTTTCTAGGGGACAGCAGAGTGCCCCAACAGACTGAACTCAGTGCTGGTGTGTTTTCACAGCCATAAGCACCCACGTTGTTTGGCTCATCAGCATCCATCTGGCAGTGCACTCTCCTTTATCTGCTGCCTTTCAGACAAGAAAAAGTTCTTCCCTATTATTTGTCTTCTGTGGTAGGAAAGAGCATGACATCACTGAGTAACAGTGTGGTCTGTCTTCAGGCCTCGCGTTTTAACCGTGGGAGAAGCCTGAGGAAGAAGAGAGAGAGACTGAAGGAGGAAAGGAGGGCTCAGTCGGTGCCACGGGATGAAGTGGTACAGAGCAAGGTAAAGTCTGGCATTGACAGCTGAATCTGCTGTAAGGAGGGACTGTCAGGAAAACCCATTAAAGACTCAGTCTATTTGGAGCCATCACTGCATGGCCCCAGCAGCTGCCCTAGGCAGTCTGTCATGCTCTGCTGCTAAAGCATTTCCCACTCACACGTGCAGAGCAGCTTAAAGCTGGGCAATTGAAGAAGAGGCTCCTTTTCTCCATCTCTGCAACTGCTCTGAACTCCCTGTCTTTGCTTCAAGCAGGGCAGTGTCTCAGCTGCTGATGACACACCAAGCAGCGACCAGCCCCCAGAGAGGAAGAACAATCTGAAGGATAAACCCCGGTCAGCCTCACCAGATCCCAAAGGAAAAAAGAGCAAAAAGAAAAAGCCAAAGGAAAAGGTATCAGTAGATTTAAAACAGCAGAGAGAAAGCAGGGATAGATAGGAAATCGCTGTTCAGAAGTGGTGTGGGTCTCTTTGGGGTGTTGGGGCAGCAGCCTCATCATGCTCCTGGAGCAGACAGTTTTCAGATAAAAGTGATTTTTGCTGTAATTGTCACAATGGATTTGTCCTATTTCCACCAGGAATAGTTTAGGAAAGGCAAAACACTGTGTTTATATTATGCAGGTTTCAGCACTCTCGGACCCCATCTCCCCAGCTGATCAGCAGACACTCCCCCAGCCCCAGAAGAACGTGCCTAAGCGCAGAAGTAAACACCACTGCTCTTCTCCACCCCCTCCCCACGAGGTCCGAGCCTACCAGCTCTACACGCTCTACCGAGGAAAGGACGGGAAGGTGATGCAGGTGAGCCACTGCCCTCACAGAGGGAGACACTGCAGGCAGCCTGTGGAGCTGGGACACGGGTAATGGATAGAAAATATGCTCTACTAACTGCACTCTCAGGGGCATGAAATTGTGACTTGGGATTGGTTTTCCTTGCTTGGGCTTCAGCTGCATTTTCGCCTGAAGTCTGGCAAACAATAAGCTGGTTTTGTGCCTGTTCAAGAAGATATACTTAAGTAGTTTTGATCTGCAAAGATAAGGGGTAAACAGTGATTGGAAATGACATGAGGACTTTCATTATATACTTTGGAACATTAAGAGTTCTGACAGGAGAAAGAAATTTTCCAAGGAAAAGCAGTGTGTGAGCACCAAAAGCTTACTACCTGAGCCAAGAGGCTGAGTAAGCTCAATAGATTTTGTTGCAATTCTTTCTGGGTTTTGCAACATGTCTTTGGGTTCTATATTTACTGGGGGCAGGGTTTCTATAGAAACTGGTAAACAAATAAACCTGGAGCTGCCAGGCCATGTGCATTTATTCCAGTTCTAAGAATTATATTTTAGTCACTTTATTACACAATTAATTACCAGTAGACATTTATAAGAAAGCATAAAAACAGTCATTAAATTATCCTGTAGACACTGTAAACATCTGTATTGTTGTTTTCTTAATATTGCCCTCCTGTACCGCTGGAAGATCTATCCTTTAATTTCCTTCACTTCTCGCATCCATCCATCCATCAGCTCTTGTCAGTCCCTCCTGTAGTTCAGAATTTCAGCAGACTCTGAAGCCCATTCAAGTCAGACTTCTAAGGTTTTACTGGCTGTTTACTGCTTTCCAACCTCTCCATTTAATGTTTGAGAAATCCAGACAGGGGCACTATGGAATTATCCTATAGCAGACATCAGGAAGGCTGAGGGACCTTTCATACATTAAAGGGACAAAGGAGCAGAGAGGTGCAGAAGGACTTGGGGAGTAGAGAGGTGCAGAAAGCAGACAGGACTTGTATACAAATATTACCTATTCACAAAGATTACCTTAATAGAGCTAGACTCCCATACAGTATTTCCTGAAATACATGACACTCCTCTCTCCTTTTCTATTTTGCTTGTCTGTCTTCTTTGATGCCCTGAGGCCATGAATAGCAAACATAATTTCTGAAGTACATGTACTTCTGAAGCTTTCTTTAGTACTCAGAAAACCACCCACCTTTCCGTGCCAAGGGAATAACCCCCAATTTATGAAACATTGCTGTGGGGCTAAAGAAGAGAGGGAGGCTCCTCTGCAGACAGATTCAGAGCAGCTGCTTTGGGCTACTGGCACAGCTCCTGAAGGAACCACTTTCTGCTTTTGGGCTACAGAGGAAACTGATGAGGTTTAGCTGTCCTTGCTTAAGAGAGCCTTTTGTGCCCATCTCCCTGAGATTTAAATGTGGTCAGTGCAGCTGCCCTTGCAGAGGGGCCATGGGATGGTGTCACATGAGTCAAAGGCAGGCAGAGGAGTGCCCAGCAATTGAATGCCAGGAGGGTGAGGGCAAAGAGAAGCAGCGAGGCCTTGCCATCCAGTACTGGAAAAGGACAGAGCATAGGATTGGCATTAGGTTAAAAAGCAAATGCACACAACCCACGCCCATCCACAAAATCAAATGTTTACAACTGAGAATTACAGCATTGAGACATGGGGTATAGGTCTGTAATGTGGTATTCCATCAGCCAGCACACAGGGTCTGAGCTCAGTGCTGCTTGTAGCCCCAGTGAAATCAACACTGCTGTTAGTGTGTGTGACACATCAAATGAACCCCTGTGTAAGCTGTGCTTTTTAACTAACAGTCCATTTGCTGAGCTGGTGTCAGGAGGGGAGATACAGAACATGGGATAGAAGAACCCAAGACTGAAGGAGGCTGTGATATGTTCCAAGTGTTCTAAGAGGGTGCTGGGGTGTAGCAAGTAAATGTCTCATCATCACTCCTTTCAGGCACCCATAAATGGATGTCGTTGTGAGCCCCTGATAAATAAACTGGAGAATCAGCTGGAGGCAACAGTGGAAGAGATAAAAGCTGAACTTGGGACAGTACAAGATAAAATGAATATTAAGCTGGGCCAGATGGAAAGCAAAACTCAACATCAAGTAAGAACATGACCTGAAGTTCTGCTTGCCTATGATTTAGAAATATATCCTAAACTTAAATAATATTTTCATCGTAATGATTAATTTTTTGCTTCTTGTGTTGTAAAAGCAAACCTGAATTCTAATACTCAAGTCCAGGGAACTGTGACATTCCACTGGGAACTGATGTTGCAAACTAGGGTCTTGAGAAAAAACACATTTAATGTGTTAAGTGGCTTCTAGTGCTTCTTTGGACAACAAATCTTAAAGGCTTGAGCCATTAAGAGGGAAAGAAGGCTGGTCTGTGACTGATCATTTCATAATCGTCAAAATCCCTCTTGCTGAATTATGTATGTATTGAGATTCAAGATCCTCTAAATTACTTTTTGTTTTTAATTTAATAGTTATTCATTGGTAATTTTGTGACTGAGCCTCTTTGCAAGCTACATCTAGTTGTAGTTGGCAGCATTTCTAGAAATGAAGACTGAAAGACAGACTGTACTTTGATTTACAGGGTTCACAGATGGGAGTTTGGTTTCTAACATGATGATCTCAGCTGAACTGTGTTTTCCCCCACAGCTCCGAGTTTTGGACAAGCTCATGGCCGAGCGACTGTCGGCAGAGAGGACAGAGTGCCTTCACCGCCTGCAGCAGCACACGGAGCTGGAAAAGAGTGAGGGGGCGAAGCGGCAGGTAGGGCTTGAAACAGCTACTCCTTCTTAGTCCATCCCCTAGTAGGTCAGCTCAGTTTCATTCCAGCAGGCAGAAAATATCAGAGATGTGTCACATCTATTAAAACAGGTAAAAGATCTTCAAAGACCGAATTATTCCTACCCACCATCTTAGTCACTAAACCAAATTTATGAAGTTTTTGCATTAGAAATGAGGAACATGAAATCCAGTCCCACTGCTGTAGTTTTATTTGGTGCATCTCTAGTATAGGATCTACAACAAAATAACATTTTTCTAATATAGTGATTTGCAAAAATTTCTAGCACTAAATTTTAATTGTGCTTTTAGCTTTTGCTTCATTAGAGGACATATGCAGAAACATACTCAAATAGTAAAAAAGGCTAAGATCTGTGTTGTTCCTTTTCCTTCTCATACGTTTGGTTGTGGGCCCTGGGAATCTCTCTCTTCTTCTTTTTCTGATCTTTTCTTCCCCGCCATGTATTAAAAGGCTGAAGTTCTTTCCTCTGATGTTAGCAACATGGCACCGTCTCCAAACTGTGTATTACTGCCAGTAGGAAAGTTTTTTTATTGTTCAACTAGCAGTACAAGAAAAACTGCTCCCACAGAGATCCAGCTCTTGCCTTTCCAGCTTCTGCAAAAACTCACCATTTAAAACCTGCTGATAAATTTGTGTTTCTCCACTCATACAGATGAATTTAAAATACAGTTCATTTTCTCATTATTGGTATTCTTCCAAGAATTGAGAAATACACTTTGTGCTAGTAAAATGTCGTGAGTGCTTGTAAGACCATTCCAAATCCATGTAAAATGACTGACAGCTGAGACAATCCTTGCATAGGATACGGATCAAGATACTTGGGTCTAATGTTCCCCAAACAAAAGAAAAGTACTTACCAAACTCAGGCAGCTTTGATTTTTATTTTATAAGAGATGTTAAGTCTTGTATTGGATTCGGAACATCTAGGCTTATGTTCCATCTCCTTGTAATCTCCATTTAAGACACAAGATGCTGGAGTGATACATCAGAGAACTGAATTAAGTGATGTCAGCTGTTCCTGCTCATGGGTCTAATTGAAACATCTGAAAAAACAGAACTGGGCTTTACACACTGACTTTTATCCTGGTGCCTAGGAGGGCCTGACCAAAGTTAATGATGTCATATGAACAACAGGGTGAAAAGAGCTACTCCTATTTTAAATTATTCAAATGCATATGCAGTTGACACTTGCTAAGCATCTGTGTAATCTGAAAACTGTTACTGATTTATCATTTAGTGGGGGACTCACCTTTATGACTGAATGAACAGAGAAGGAAGAGGATGGTAATTATAAAAACAAAATAAAGCTGTTCCCCAGAAGTGTCTAATTTGAATTTCACTCTTAAAAAATGACCGTGTGGTGTTCTTTGCACTTAGAAAGCACCACTGACTGTATGATTAAACAAGCCAACCCTGATAGAGTAGGCAGAGTTTAATTGGAAGTAGCATATTCATATCTAAGAGGTGGTAGCTTGGACTAAAGAGACTGCCTTTCATAAGATAGTGCATAGTTCTCCACCTTTTTTGATCTGCAGTCCTTTAAATATTCCCAGTGGCAGCATGCACATCTGTACTGGGAGTCTAAGCCCACAGATACCCAGCTTGCTTCTCTTTGTCCCTGCCACATGTCCTCAGCAGCCCAGGAACCACAGGATCTCATCATAGGATTATGTAATTTACAGTCTCTTTCTGATAGATTTCCTTGGTTGATGAGCTGAAGACCTGGTGCTTGTTGAAGATTCAGAATCTGGAGCTCAAGCTTTCTGGCGATTCCAGGTCATCAAGACCAAAATCAACTTTGTCCACTTGCGAGTCTCTCACTGAGACCCTGGATACTGACAACAACCCCAACAGTGCCAAGGACTGTAAAGCCAACCAGCCTGTGCTGCAGTCAGAGGGCTCCCACCAGCATTCCTATATCACACTTCCAAATAGCCTCTTGGAAGATGGGGGAAGGAGCAGAGTCCAAATGCCAGAACAAAGCTTTGGGCAACACTTTTGCATTAAACAAGATGGAGCATTGGGTACAACCACATCAGGTACTTAGCTGTCATATCCCTTCAAGGGCGAGCTCATTAACTGAGGGGTACTTGTATTACTAATACTATGTAATTCTGGTGGTGTGCTTTTCCCCCTCCATATGCCTAATGTCTTGGGTTTTGGATATACTTCAAGGCAGCCACTGGGAATATTTTAAGAGGTGGCTGGGTGGAATTCCACTGACTGTTCCTGATGCTTCTACTATGTCTTGGAAGCAAATGTCCTGTGGTGCACTGACTAACTCTTAGGCTTGGAAGCTTTCAAAGAAAAAGAAAAATGTGCAGAACGGCCAGGTGTTCACAGCCAAGTACAATGCTATCTGAGCCCTGGTTTCTGTAAAATACTATCTGTATATCCCGTAAACACTATGCAAAGTGAACAGGCATGGATACCCCATCAAATAGAATGGCATATGAGAGATCTTGTGGTGCTTGAGTGTGAGCTATTCTGCATTGGAGCAGTTCAAAAGCATAGAAATGTGTGACCTTTCCAAAATTACTGGGACTTCAAGTTTTGTAGAAGCAGGGAGTTCATAAATATCAGCAGACATACCCTACTTTGGAAATCTAGACTGATAGTTGTTACATGTCCTTCTGATGAAGTCACAGAATCACAGAATGGTTTGGATTGAAAGGGACCCAAAAGATCATCTTGTTCCAACCCCCCTGCCATGGGTAGGGACACTTTCCACTGCACCAGGTTGCTCAGAGCCACATCCAGCCTGGTCTTGCACACTTCTGAGAATGGGGCAACCACAACTTCTCTGGGTAACCTGTGCCAGTGCCTCACAGTGAAGAATTTTTGGCTAATATTTATGTCCTTTTCCCATTGTCCATCTGTAGCCCCACAGCTGCAATGCAGCACCTCTCTGCCTGGGCCAGCTCTTCTCCTTTAATGACTTTCTATTACATCACTTGACTGTGAAGATGTGATAAACTACTATAAGCCTGTAGAAGGTACACACAAAACCCCATCATTCATCAAACAATGAGGTCTTCTGAGTGCTAAAATAAGTGCCCAGAGCTTTTCTTAATATGCTGTCTATAATTTGTTCTATAGGTACAGAGCAACAGGTAGTGGCTGGTGGACCAGTTTCTTCGTCTGCCCCTGCTCAAGATGTCAGGCCAAAGGACAAAGCTGTGAGTGCCAGCACGTTCCACAGGTTCCAGCAGGATCTGCCCTGCTCTGAGCTTTCGGGCTCCAAATTAAGACATGTTAAAGTTCAAGCTGCTTTGCAGCCAGGGACTGAACCTGCAAAGACTGAACCACAGAGCAGCTGCTTCATTGACAAAGGAACTCAGACAAAAAGGTCCAGCAAAAGTGGGCAGTCGCGGCACAAAGTTCTGCACCACACCGGGGCACAGCAGGGCCAGGAGCAGCAGCCCTCAGCCCCGCCTGCCCCTCCGCTCAGAGACACCTCCCAGGCCCTGGAGATAACCCAGTACTTCTTCGAGGCCGTTTCCACGCAGATGGAGAAGTGGTACGAGCGGAAGATAGAAGAAGCCCGGTGCCAAGCAAACCAGAGAGCGCAGCAGGACAAAGCTGCGCTCAAGGAGCACATCAAATGCTTAGAAGAGGAGCTGAGCAAATTAAGAACTAAAGTGCAGAAAGAGAGCTAGCACCTGCCAGGCAGCTAACCGAGCAATAGGACTCATTGTGGAACCTGCTGTATGGGAATTTGGAATATTAATAGATATTTGTAGTGCCTGTTTCATCCAAACACAATACTCTATTTCAGGAGTAGAAATAACTTTGGAAACTCCATAACTGAGGAGAGTTCATATGCAAACTATATTGATAACAAAAAAAATGCTGCAGATTAGATCCTTTCTTTGTTATTTCCATGAGTCTGTCAATATTGCACTCTCAGTTTCCAGATGCTGCTTGAAACCAAACTGCATTAGTAACCAAAACTGTTTTCTGAAAAGGGAATTCCCTTACTTACACACAGGACAGATTAGAGGGTTCTACTGTATGCCACATGTAAACATGTAGTGTTACCAGTACTGAAATAAATCCAGGATATTTGAAAGTTTTTGACAAATTTTGACTAATTACTTAGTGATGAAGGGCTATTGATCCTATTTTTAGCTACTCCCAGGGCGTCTCTCTCATCAGTGGAGAGAAGCTAATGAACCCACTCTAGTTACAAGCCCAGGTAGCTGACAGATGCAGGCTTCCAGCTGGGAGAGGGCAGGCAACCATGAAGGGAGGTACTAAGGCAAATCATCCTATTAGATACAGAGGCTTCAGCTACCACTTTGCTTTTCTCTTGGTTTTCCATTATTAAAACAAGTGCTAAATCTGATTTGTCTTTTTTTTTTTTTTTTTTTTTTTTAATGGTGTCCTGTTTGCAGAGCTCCTTGCAGTTACAGTGTTGTTGGGGCTCTACTCCAGTAATCTGACTGAGAACTTTTGTTTTGGGTATGGATGGCAAGTATTTTACTGTAACCGTGGTCTATTCTTTAGGTTGAATGTTTATATAAATATTTTTTCCTTCAAGCAGGAAATGGCTAAATGGTCTACTATTGAAGAAGCTTGAAAAAGTCCTTTATCTAAGGAAGTGAAAGCTTGGCTCCCTGTATTCAAATTTTATTTTTCTGCAGTCAGGATTTTTGCCCAGATTGTCTACCTTTTTTCCTCTGAATGATTCCTCCTCTGTTTTTGCCCTTATGTCTCTAAGAAGGAGACCAGGCCCTGGTAAGTCTACAGGTTTTAGGACAAACAGTCCCACAAAACAGCACTCAACATTTTAAAGTTTTATCATTTTGTTTTGTTGTAAAATCTTTCATTGACCAATGTTGTCCATGCTGACAGACTCCATATAATCTCAAGGCACTATAACTATTGCCTCTGCACCCCTTTAGGGTTTCCTCCTTACACGTCTGATAAGGGTCCATCAGATTCTGCTAGAAATGGAAGTTTACTCACCAGATCATAATACAACAACTGTTCAAAATCAGTTCCAACACAGGATGGTACTGTTATGCCAAGGAGAAAAATACTTTTTTTCTGTACTAAGGAGCTCTGAAATCAATACAAAATACTTTACAGTGCTGACGAATGCCATTCACTAATTAGTAATTAAGCTTTTGTCTTCTTAGCAGATGTATAAAGCAAAAGAAGTCATATTATACAACAATATTTTTAACGTTGCTATTAATGCACTATCACAAGAAGAGAAGTGTATCTGTGGCTATGGAAATATTAGTTTTTTTGCCCTGACTTCTGTAGTCTAATGTAGACACTTCGGTATGTTTACAGTTCTGTTTAAGCTACAGTAGGAATGCAGAAGCATGCTATTGAAATTTTGTATCACCTGGATGAAGTTAATGTTTTGCCAAGCAATTAAAGTAAGTGTTGCTCAGAAACTCATGGTGTAACATTTTCTAGCCACAGAAAATTCACACAGTCCCCTCACTTGACTCTGAAGAGAGAGCAGAAGATTGGACTTCAACTTCTAAGCTTTTTGTTTGTGGTTATAAAACACAAAAATGAGTCTGCCATCTTGCAGAGGGAGGCTGCAGGGATTGAGTGCTGTCTGTTGGCTGGTGCAGGTACCCCTTTCAGAAGTTACAGGCGCAGGGCTGAGCTGAGCACAGATCAGACACGGGCTCCTGAGCTTGCCCAAGCTCCAGGGAGAGGCTGTGGCTTTAGCTCTACTTCCCATACAGACCACACTGGACCATACTTGTAAGTCCAAGTAATTAACTAAATCCAAGTAATTACCAAGTAATCTAAGGCAGTAACCAGGCGGCAGGTTACTGATTTTAGAGGTTTTCTGAAGCCAGTGAGTGTATGGTAAAAGAAAGAGAAGCATTTCCTGCTAATTCCTTTCTATACTGTGCCCTTCTTCAAAACTGTGAAGGACTTGATAAAACAGGTGTGATCTACCTACCTGTCTCTTCAGGTAAATTTACTTACCCTTGCAGGCTGTACTTGGACTCTTTAAGGCTTCTGGCTGGCAATTTTATACTTGGCAAGCACACAGAGCAGTGGAGATGAAGGGCAGCAGCACTCAAGAGGTCAGCATCTGTCCAGAGCCCTGCCTGTCAATCCTAGCTCTGGATTACATGCCCACAACCTGGAAATGTATAAATTGGGAGTCAGACGGGTAATGCAGGCTCAGGGCTCCGAAAGGAAAGCACCATGGTGAGGCAGCAGGGTAAAGCCGCCTAAATAAGGAACAGAAATCCAAGCACTGGCTGAAGGGGAAGGGAAGCCTACTGTGGTAATGGCCAACACTGGTTATGGCTGTTCAATTAAAACACCTTTGTAAGCAGCACTTTCTCTTAACGCAAAAAATAAATCCCCAACACAAAAGTGTTCTGTCAGTCTGTTCTGCCAGAAAATGTTAATAAAATGTAAATTTTTAATGAAGCATTTTTAGATATTTGTTTTTCCACTGACTGAAGCTCAGAGGCTTCAGTCTATACAGATGTGAGCCATAACTCCTGCTCTCAACTGGGGTCATTCCTCCTGTAGCCTGGAATTCTGTCCTGTCCCTTCCCTGGTGCCAGTGGTGATACCTATTTACCTGATGTGCTGCCAGGTTGTGCAACTCAGCCCCTCTGCAGAAAACCATGCATGTCTTGGAATCACAACCTAAAACAATCAGGCATTGATCTACTGCTGCCTGTCTAGCTATGTGGAGAAAATCCCCAGCTCATGCAAGCATTTTTAAATTATATGAAAAAAAAAGATACACCACAGCTTAAGGAAAGTGAGAACTGTTGCAAGCTAACAATTAGAAGTAGTATAACATTTGACTAAACAAACCAGAACTTTTGCAGTTAGTATTTTCCACCTGTAATTCTTCTTTATATATTGACTTTTAAATACTAGTTTGAATGTACTTCATAATAAACATCTCTGGGGCTAAAATCTCCCATTTTCATAACTAAAGACCTCCCCTTTTAAGTTTAATTCAGCTACTACTGAAAAGCAACATCTACATACAAACCATTTTTTAAATGTTTGTTTGTTCTGCGCCAATTTATTTATCCCAAATTCTTTTTTTAATCATGAATTTCAGTGAAAATCCTTGGCACGGTACATGAAGAGCTGTCATTGTGAATATTAACAATTTCAGCTACCACAGACAAAATAATCTGGCATATATTTAGTTTTCATTGCACTGGCATTAACACAGCTGTCATAATTTTTGGTGCTTTCTGCTTTTCCTGCAGCACATGCTACATCATCCATGCAGTTCTTTAATGTCCTTTGTGTCCAAGTGATTTCCACTTCTGAGGGTAGCAAAACGGAGAAATTGATGGGGAAGGGGAAAAACAAAACTCCCGCTGTGAAAGACTCCTCCTTCAAACATTACCAGGTTGCCAGCAAAGCCTGCCATTCTAACCACATTCTGGAAAAAACACTGTGTCTATTTGCAATAGATAAAAATTAAACTGTCAATAAAATGATGATCAGGATTTTGCCAGCTTAAGTGTTCTCTGAAGTTCCTGAAGTTGCATGTTGCCTTGAGTAATCATCATCCTGATTGCATCCTGTAAAACAGATTGGAATCTAATGAACTGTATGTCTGTACACAGCGTGGGTTTTACACAAGCATGCAGACTATTAATGCATTAAAATACATACAACTCTTACTGGCACTACTGTCATTTACTTCTTTGTGTGACCTAACACTGCTGTCTCTGAAATGGTTAAAAACCAGGTCAATAAATGGATTAATTTTCTCCAGTTCTGTAACAATGTGCTTGGTTGTGGCTTTTCTTTAAAACTCAGTTTTTAATAGGATTCAAACCCCTAATGATGTTTGCTTTATGCCTGTGTGTGTACTGCCTTTGCAAGCCAGTAGTGAGAACAGCACACAAGCATTATGGAGATGGGTTTTACACAGCAGGTGTGGGTTTCTCTCAACACTGTCTAAGGGCTCTAAGGCTTTGTCTGCATAGTTCAGCCACCAATTCCTTGGGCACTGGCTAGAAAACGGAATGAACTAGGAAGCAGACAACAGGAGATGTACAAGAAATGTGAAGGTTTCTGCATTTCACACTGGCTTCACATCCTTAACCATCCCACCTGATTGTATGGTGGTTAAATATAAGTGAAATTAAAGCAAAATAAAAAGCTATAAAAAGCTTAACTGTTATTAAGTTTGTGTAAGTTACCATATATATACATGGTTTTCCTAATCTGTGATTTGACTGAGAATTTATTGTTTAGGTTTTTAATTCCAGATTATTCTCTGGAAATTTGAGAAACATTACTATTGCTAAGAGGGGGAATAATATTTAGAGATGTTGGATTATTTCTTCGCATAAATGAGGAAATAGTAACAAGGCACTTTTCACCAGTCTGGAAGCGACACCTACAAAACAAACCTCCAGGACACAGGACAGGACCGTGCAGTGACCATGCCCGAGGGCAGGCGATCAGATGCGGATTCCCAATCCTCACCTCTTCTGTGGCATCCTTATTTCTCTTGAATTCCTCCCTGGCCCAGTCCTTTAAGTAGCGGCGATCCTGCTCAGCAGGGACGTCCCGGATGGCGCGCAGGATCTTGCGGTACAGCTGAAGGACCTGCTGCCGCCTCAGGAACTGGCGAGGAGAGAGCCAAGTCTGCCCGCTGCCCCCGCACAGCGCTGCGAGCTGCGCCCTCGGCGCTTTGCTTCGAGGGGTATTTAAACAACCACCGAGTTCCCCATCGCCCCTACAGAACGCGGCCTGCCCGAACCCCCGAGCCCGCCCGTACCTGCTTGAGGGTGAGCGCGCCCGGCGGGAGCCGCCCGGCCGCCATGACGCGACTCCGCCCCTGCCCCACCACGGGGCCGCCGAGCCCGCCCCGCGCGGGCGGGGCCACGGCCGCCATTTCCCGCCTCAGCGCGGCCGCTCTGCGGGCTGGGCGAGCCTGCGGGCTGGGCGGGCTGGGCGAGCTTGGATCAATTCCAGGCGCAGACGGCGTAATTACAAAGAGTGGTACCTCTCTTTATTAGAATAGACGATACAAGATGCATAGCCTTCGCAATGAAAAATCACGTCCGTGCTCCAAGACACCGGATTTATGAAACATCCCCAACGCCTGCCTCGGACAGGGGCAAACTTCACAGTGTAAAGTGGTAAGGCTGGGATCAGCATATGGCATTATTCAGAAACTCCCTGCTGCTATCGTCAGGCAAAATCGGCAATAATTAAAAAGGATGTTTTAAAACCTCATAATAGTTTGAAGTATTTTTTTTTTTTTTTGGTTGAGTAAAACCATCTGCCTCTCCTGCTCACCACTCTTTCCTTCCCAGAGGCACCTCCACATGAGTGATGCTGAAAAAAGTTTTATTTGCAAGACACCTCAACTTCTAATGCAGAAATGCCTTCCCAGGAAGAAACCTGGTTTTACTGACGGCAGGGAGGGAGAGGCAGGAATAGTATTACCTCTGTTAATATTACAATTTTTTTTTTTAATAGGTAATAAGTTATTAGAAGAGAAGTCGAGACAAGCTTTACGTTTCTTGTGGGAATAGCAGGAGACAGTCTCACCATTGCATAATTGTCCTCTGACAAAAGTGAGAGGATGCACCCAAACCATTCTGTTCTTACACAGTGTCTGCCCCAGGGCAGCTCCTGAAGGATAATTCCAGTTCGGAAGAGCTTTATGACCCCTCCCATGAAATGCAGTTTCTTGTATTTCAGCACTTCAGCAGCAGCAATCGGGTCCTGACCTTGTCTACAAAGTCTAAAGAGTGTCAGAGGCAGTCACCAGCTCAAACCACTGTCTGAGGGCATCGCTCAGAGTTTCTGGGAGCGCGTTCACATCTCTAAGGATCATGTAGAACGGGAATGGGAATTCTTCCATGTAAGATCTGATTTCAGGCAATTCTCCAGGTCCTTTGAATATAGGTACTTTAATGTCCAAAATAGAATCCTGTAAAAAAAAGTGCTGATGTTACTACTAAATGACACACATATTCTATGATCACTGTCAGAATTTACCCTATTTTCTAAGTACTTGTAATACTCCCCCATTAGATTAAAAGTTAATAAAATACTTTTAAGATGAAAAGCTCTAAGTGTTCAATGGTAAATCAGAGCAGAAGCTGAACATAAATCAGTTAAATGCTTTTGCCCTTTTAGATAAAAGTGTACTAATCCATGAATTATAGGCTAGAAGAGACTAAGCCTAAGCTTCTGCAACACCAAATTCTGTAAATCAATTCTGTCTTCTCTTAGCATTTTATGATTTGAGTTTACTGTTGGCACTTTAGTTTTATTAATTTGATGCCTTCCCAAGAGAGTCTGTAAGCTCTTTAGTGCTGAGTTGAACTCATATTTGTGTGGTGCTCTAACAGAAGATTCTTTAGCAACTTCACAGTATCTCAACAAATACTACAAAGACAAAAATCAGATTAAACTCCAGCTATGGTTCTTGTAAAATAACTTCTTATTTGCTCAGTGTAGCAGCTCAGAAATTAATAAATGGTATGGAAAACACCTTTTTTCCCCAGGAAAAAAAATGCTTATGAGAAACACCCAGAATTTTCATTTGACACTACAGCCAGGTTTCATCAGAACCTTTCAGCTGTTTGTCAGCAGGAGAACTGTTAGTTTTTCAACACTTAACATAGCAGATGAGTTTTGCATGCAAAAATAAAGATACAGGAAGAAAACATAAACCACAAAATTAGAGTCTTTACCACGTAATTCTCTATCAGGCTTATGTTTGCTCACTTACTGCACTACAGAGCCTTCCTGAAACACTCCCATATATTTCAGCTCCATATTCAATGATATCTTTTTTTCTCCCATTACCAGATGCAGGACTCAGCTTTCCCAACTGAGGCACTAAATAACTCTCACATACTCCCTTCTGTCTAATGTTTAATCTCATACTGGCTCCAGCTGTCATGTCAGTTGGGGACTGCTGTCAGAAATTATCAAGCTGAATCAGAGCTGAGATGGAACAAAGCATCTCTCGAACTCCAAATCTGTCAACCTGCCAGCTGCTTCCCTGGTGGCCAAGAGCTACAAGCATTCCGTTTGAAGACAGGAGCTCTTAGCCTTTCTGTGGCATGGAAGCTGAGATTTTTTTTTTTTTTTAAATACAAAAGATAAAAAGCACAGTAGGAAGAAATGGTAGAACTGACAGACGTGGAAAACTGCATTTGGGTTCAGTATCTCTGACCTCTACAAAAGATAAGGTAGCCGTATGGCACTATAAAAGACAAGAAAAAGATTTGTATCGGTTTCTTATTCACTGCAGTTGAATACTTCTCCCTTGTTCACTTACCCGGGAATTAGGGTTGTCCAACACTACAAAAATAACAAAGATATTGGCATTCCGAGCTGCTTGAACTGCTGCTGTCACCCGTTCCTTGCCTTCCAAGAAAAGGCCTCTTCCATCAGATACAATCAAAAGCAGCTGTGCTGTTTCTAAGCACAAAGAACATTTAAAATTCCAGTAAGTTCAGAGTAAAACGTTTAAAAGGCAAAAACCCCTATTTTGCTGTTTGGCCTGTGGGTATAATGGAAAAATGAGTATTCCTAAGGAAATTAACTCTTGATCAAATAGAATTCTGTCAAGTCAGTCCAGTTAGTCTGAAGTAAACCTTCTGAAACATCAGACATAGCACCCATGCTGGGTTCCTCGGCACCAACCATTTCTGAAGACATGTTACTTGACCCCAGTTACGCCTAGAGTCAGATACATCCCTCTAGAGGTACATTCTAAGTTATGTATCTGTCATCCCTTAATTACACGAAAAATCACAGTAATTACAGTCAGGAATGTGTGGCCCAGTTGTTACAGAGGGATTCAGAACACACTTCTGCAGACCTGCCCCAAATGTGACAGAGCTTTGTCTTTTTACAGAAAGAGGTGATGGATCCTACAGCCTTTTCTCTTGCCAGCTCCTTAATCCTAAGGAGCCGATTGCTGCTTCATCTCTGGCTAGTTTAACAGAACTGGATGCTGCTCTCCCTCAAAATATTGTAACACCCTGGCCACCCTGTGGCAAAGCAGCTGTGGATTATAAATCCCAGACTGTCCAGTTCTTGGAGTACTTCAACAACAAGAACTTATAAAAAATACAGGTGCCACTGTGACAAGCTTTTAACTATCACATAACAATCTTTTAGACTAACTAGGGGCAGACATGAGGCAAGCAGTTTTCCAGCTTTTCTTGGAAGTTCAAGCAGCTCATGACCTAAAGTTGCAGGACAGTAAAGGGCAGGTAGGAGGCAAATTCTGTCCTCAGAGCAGTGTGCTTCTGAACACCTAGAGAACTCAAGCAGGATAAGTGTCTGGAGAGTCACGGTCCTTAGGAAGCTGGACAATGCTCCAAGCTGGCACTGTCTATGCCTTAACACAGTCTGCAATCAGGAGGTAAAGGGAGACACGTAAGGCGTGCCTTTTTAAAAAGTCTTACACAAAATGTTAATGAATTATTGACAAATATGAAGTAGGTGTCACTTGGGTTTTGAGCTAAATTTCAACCAAACATTGCTTTTGATAAAGCAAAACCCAAAGCTCTAATGCAAGTGATATTTCAGTCCCAAGAGTCTTCCTGGCAGGATCCTACTTCAAGACTGTAGTGAGCATTCCACTGCCATGGCAACAAGCACAGTAACACAAAAAAACTCACCCGGATTAATATTTTGAGACAACTGCTGTGCTGCAGCAAACATATTTGCTGATGATTCTAGAAACTGCAGAGGAAATAGATAAGAAAATCAAGTTAGCTCATCATAAAAATAAT